GTGTGTGCTTGTGTCTGTGTCTGTGTCTGTGCTTGTGTGCTTGTGTGCTTGTGTGCTTGTGTGCTTGTGTGCTTGTGTGCTTGTGTGCTTGTGTGCTTGTGTGCTTGTGTCCTTGTGTGCGTGTGTGCGTGTGTGCGTGTGTGCGTGTGTGCGTGTGTGCGTGTGTGCGTGTGTGCGTGTCTGCGTGTGTGCGTGTGCGTGTGCGTGTGCGTGTGCGTGTGCGTGTGCGTGTGCGTGTGCGTGTTCGTGTGTGTGTGTGTGTGTCTGTGTGTGTCTGTGTGTGTGTGTCTGTGTGTGTGTCTGTGTGTGTGTGTGTCTGTGTGTGTGTCTGTGTGTGTGTCTGTGTGTGTGTCTGTGTGTGTGTCTGTGTGTGTGTCTTTGTGTGTGTCTGTGTGTGTGTCTGTGTGTGTGTCTGTGTGTGTGTCTGTGTGTGTGTCTGTGTGTGTGTCTGTGTGTGTGTCTGTGTGTGTGTCTGTGTGTGTGTCTGTGTGTCTGTCTGTGTGTGTCTCTGTGTGTGTGTGTGTCTCTGTGTGTGTGTCTGTGTGTGTGTGTGTCTGTGTGTGTGTGTCTGTGTTTGTGTGTCTGTGTGTGTGTGTCTGTGTGTGTGTGTGTCTGTCTGTGCGTGTCTGTGTGTGTGTGTCTGTGTGTGTGTGTCTGTGTGTGTGTGTCTGTCTGTGTGTGTGTGTCTGTGTGTGTGTCTGTGTGTGTGTGTCTGTCTGTGCGTGTCTGTGTGTGTGTGTCTGTGTGTGTGTCTGTGTGTGTGTCTGTCTGTGTGTGTGTGTGTCTGTGTGTGTGTGTCTGTGTGTGTGTCTCTGTGTGTGTGTCTGTGTGTGGGTGTCTGTGTGTGTGTGTCTGTGTGTGTGTCTGTGTGTCTTTGTGTCTGTGTGTCTGTGTGTCTGTGCGTCTGTGTGTCTGTGTGTCTGTGTGTGTGTCTCTGTGTCTCTGTGTGTGTCTCTGTGTGTGTGTGTCTGTGTGTGTGTGTGTCTGTGTCTGTGTCTGTGTGTGTGTCTGTGTGTGTGTCTGTGTGTGTGTGTCTGTGTGTGTGTGTGTGTCTGTGTGTGTGTCTCTGTGTGTGTCTGTGTGTGTGTCTGTGTGTGTGTCTCTGTGTGTGTGTCTGTGTGTGTGTGTCTGTGTGTGTATGTGTGTGTGTGTTTTTTTGTGTGTGTGTCTGTGTGTGTGTCTCTGTGTGTGTGTGTGTGTGTTTGTTTATTTGTTTGTTTGTGTGTGTTTCTTGTTTCTTTGTTGTGTTGTGTTTGCTTGCTTGCTTTGCCTTATTGCTTGCTTTCTCGCTTGCTTGTTTTGCCTGATTGCTTGCTTTCTCGCTTGCTTGCTGTTGCCTGATTGCTTGCTTTCTTGCTCGCTTGCTTTGCTCTGCTCTGCTTGCTTGCTTGTGTTTGCTTGTTTGTTTGTTGGTTATTCCTGCTTGCTTGTTTTGTGTGTATGTTTGGCTGGTTGGTTGTTTGCTTGGTTGGTTGCTTTGTTTGTTGCCTTTTTGCTTGTTTGTTGAACCCCGCACTGCGAGACGCAACACGCAGTCAAACACACGGTCCAAACTCCACAGCTCAAAAATCACTCAAGCGGGGGAGGGGGGAAGGGCGTACTAATTGCATGCGCTTGCATCTGTCGCCTGGGCACGAAAGGGGCCGGGGGGGAGGTAGTTCCGAAACTGCGGCCTTCATTTTGCGCACACAGACACATGACCGCCCTCTAGCAATCGCATACAGACATACAACTCACGACCTTGCTGGAGCGCACTCTTTTTGTTCTTTCTACGCATGGAAACGTGAGAGCTGGCGAACGGAAGCGGGCCGAAGGCATGCGCGAGTTCGACTCCTCCGCACACGCAAACGTCCTCGGTCACAACGGCTGACGGAGGCGGGCTCGGAGTGGAACGCGGCAGACGTGATCCAGGTCAACAAGGAACCTCAGCCTCTCTCTTGGGCCGAGCTCTTCGCGCGGCGCGGCTGATGGTGGACCACGACGACGATGGAATCCAGATGAAGGGTTTCCACCAGGCTCAAACAAGCCAGGTGTCCTCATCTACTGGACCCTGGCGACCTGCAGCACGAACAGATCAGAGTCTTGGCGTCCATCCGACAAATGCCGTCTGTCAGCTCTAAGAGCGGTCTATGCTTAGCGCCGCCGCTCTGGAATTCAGCGACTTGCAGGAACTCAAAGTTGCAAGGCTTATGGTTTTGTTGTCAAGCGAATGGACCCGGGAATGGAACTGCTCTGACGCCAGTGAGCGCCGTGGCTTGCGTTGGACGAGCGGGAGTGGGATGGGGGAGTCGGCAATTTGGGGCCCAAGTTTGTTTGGAAGGAGCTCGGCCTGCGATTTCCCAAAGTACGAAGAAAGCAATGAGTGCCAAGGCCAGAAGCTATTACTTCAAGGGGCCAAGCACATGGGCAGGGCAGTTCAGCGCACCGGGGGGGGGCAAGGTTCCCGCCGCCGGCGTCCTTCTAGTGCCAGATGTGAACCGGGCGACGAAGAGCTTGCGGCGAACCCTACGAAAGTCACACCTCGCTTGCTGGAGAATAGGAAGTTTCCACTCCCGATGTATGTCGCTTTGGCCTTCGCGCAAGCCGACGCGGTTACTTTGGCTTTTTTTATGTCAGCATGGCTTGGCTTGTATTCAGCGGCATTGTGCTGGCCAGGAAGGATGCAGCCGCTCTAACATTTTCAGCTCAGGAGTATGTTAGACAAAGATTGCACAGCCATTAACATCCTCGGCCACATGTCTGCCCATGTTCGCACTCATTCCACCAAGCTTGTTTTCCTTAACTTGCGCCGCGCGAAGCGTGCTCTTGCAGCAGATTCATGTTTTTTTCAGACGCCCTTGCCACGCAGCTGAGCATGTACCAGTGTCAGAAAAGAGCCGGCGCTGAAAGAAAGGGCTTTCTGATTTTCTTGGAAAGCGTACTCTGGCCCACCACACAGACGCAGCTGGACCCAAGTTCAAATGTAGCTGTTCACACAGAGGGCTGAGTGCGCAGGCGCACACCCACCCAAAGACTGGACAGGCAGGGCTCCACATATGCCACCAAACTGCTTCTCATAGCTACGTATGTCTTCTGCTACTATGTCACCTTTCGTGCTGTGCTGCCCTGCGCTGTAACTTGCACACCTCAGAGACCGCAGCCTGTTTTTCTTGTTGCTTTTTTCGCAGGTGAAACACGGCTTCATTCTCGGGCGCAATGGCCGCACCTTGGCTATGTTTTCTAGCTGCACGGGTGAGGCAGTCAAAGCCGTGAAGTTTCAGTTTCGTTTGCAACTGCGCGGTTCATTCAAGTATGTGTGCTTTCCTTTTTGCAGCATCGATCATCATCATCCTCATCATCAGAAATAACATCTTTCATCCCCATATCCTCATCCTTATACTCATCTTCATGCCATCCAACACCACTCGTTCCTCTTTCATAGCGTTCACTTCCTGCGTTGACTGGCGAAACTGGGGCGCTCACTTGGGCCGATGTGCAGCTTTTCTTCCTTGAAGCAAAGGACCCCTGTACGGCGTCAAAACGGAGAAGCTGGAAGTGCCCAGCGCAGGCCATTCAAATGCATTTACCTCCGAACCTATGGCCGCCATGGCCCGAGGTTGGAGAGCCTTTGAGGGCCACGAGCCCCTTCCAGAGATCCTCAAGTTTGGCTGCTGGCAGTTTCCTCAGCTGCGCTGCGCAATTCTGAGTGCACACTGTGAACAAGGCCCAAACTTGCATGTGCAACGCAGGGTGTGCTGGAGTGCCCCGACATTCGCCTTTTCTGGGATGGCTTAGGTCGGACTGTTGTCAGCACGCGGCCTGGTACTTCCTGCAAGAAGCAGAGAACGCTGCAAAGGCTTGCCGCTCAGTATTTGTGTAATGAACAGATTTGGACGCCGATGCCCTGTCGTGTAGCGTTGGCAGCACTTGCGATGTGTCATGTGCACGGTTTCAATGGGGCACTTGGCCAAACCTGCCAGGGCAGCCACTGGAAAGTTGTGCCAGGTTCTTAGGCTCAAACGCTGCGCAACTTGTGGCATGACATGTAGTTCGAGGCTGATGATGGCTGACCGAGCCTTTGACTGCCATACTCAAGCTCGGCCAAACGGCCGTGGAGATTTGCGTCAAGGTGGAGTTGAATGGTCGCGAGCTTGGCTCATCAACCCATGAAGCGCAGACAGCAAACGAGGGTGGCGTCGCAGAGTTGTGAGTTTTGACCTAACCGATTTCTGCCCTGCTGGGATCCGCAAAGAAGGGCTGGAACACGTTGCTGAAAGCCTGAGACCTATCCTACACCTCCCTAAAAACATCATGTCTGACCTTGGCCGGCTTTTAGTGCCCCTCGTTGTTGGGATCTAGTTGGTTTCCGACCAGGTCGCAGCAGCTGTGCGATCTTCTTGGTGCACGAGCAGAGGCACTGCTTCATTTGGGTCAGTGCTCCCCACACACGGAAGAGCCGGCCATTAATTAACGCCGTTGAGCTGAATCTGAGTGACTCAGCTCAACTGTCAATTGTCAGGTACAAGCGAGCCTTGATAGACGCATGCGCGGCGGTCCACTTCGTCCCAGCCTTCGAGTTTAGCAAGGCTGGCCACGCGCCCCTGCAGCGCGGTGCTCCCTGAAACGTAGCGCTTGTCCTTCTATTTCGGAGAATAATGCTTTTGCGAGCAATTTGACACGCAAGCAATAGGCTCCAAGAGATCAGCGGGATGCAACGTGTTCATGGCCTTTCTGCGTTTCTCATGATGTCCATATGAGCGTCTTATCAAACCTCTGGAAGACCAGTATGAAAAGGGCTGGACATGACATACCAACATGTGCAGTAGAACGTGCCAAAGCATGCAAACTAAACATGGTTTTGTGCACGGGGCCCCTGATGTGAGGAAACGAGGAGCTGAGTGTATTTCCTTTACTACACTTAATGTAGTGAAAAATTGCGACTCTCGAGCCGGATTTGCCAAAGTGTACTTTCGAGCCGGAGCTTCCAAAGTGCACTTCCTTTACTACACTTGTACTGAAAAGTTGCGACTTTCGAGCCGGAGCTGCCGAAGTGCACTTCCTTTACTACATGTACTGAAAAGTTGAGACGTTCGCGACGGAGCTGCCCAAGCGTACTTCCTTTGCTACACTTGTACTGAAAAGTTGCGACTTGTGAGCCGGAGCTGCCAAAGTGTACTTCCTTTACTACACTTGTACTGAAAAGTTGCGACTTTCGAGCCGGAGCTGCCAAATTGTACTTCCTGTGCCACACTTGTACTGAAAAGTTGCGACTTTCAAGCCGGAGCTGCCAAAGTGTACTTCCTTTACTACACTTGTACCGAAAAGTTGCGACTTTCGAGCCGGAGATTCTCAAGTGAAAGTTGCGACTTTTTTGCTGGCAAAGTGTATAAAGCGACAGGTTACCAAAAAGCGATACCCTCTACGCGATGTCCTTTGGCTACACAAGAGGTTTCGCAAGTTGCTCATGCGTGTAAGTTGTGTTTGTGCGCATGTGCGAACGTGAGCTCAGCAATAAGCGGGAGTGCAAGCTTAAGTCAGCGCAAATGAGGGCCCACGAGTGTGTTGTGTCGAACACGTGTTTGTCAGGTGTAAGCATAAGTGCAACTGAAAGACAAAGTGTGTGAAGGGTGTGCAAATGCGTCTCACTAAGTGTGTAGACAAGTGCTTGCAATCATTCGAAATTACGCATAAGCTCGCATGTGTGCGTGTTGTTTGTTCTTGCGTGCGTGTTGTGTCATTCCCGAAACCATTGCGGTTCTTCCCGAAAAATTGCGAGCGAACTCGCGCGAGCACAATGGCATTGGCGTGAGACAGCTTGCGCGAGCGCCCTTGCACAAGCAATCTCGCGCACGCGAGCGCACTTGCGCGAGATAATTTTGTTATTTGTTGCGGCGGCGAAGCGGGGCCGGCGCAAAACGGCGCCAACGCGATGCGCAGACGCCTGAGCGTTATCAGAGAAGGACAGACACAAACACATGCACACTTGCTGGCGGCAGCTTGCGCAGAGTAACTTGCAGAGAGCAGCTTGCGCAGAGCATCTTGCACAGAGTAACTGGCACGCAGCTTGCGCAGGGTAACTGGCACGCAGCAGCTCGCGGAGCACTTGCGCGGAGCAACATGCGCAGAGCAGCTTTCCAAGAGCACTTCTACAGAGCAACCTGCGCAGAGGCGCTTGCGCAGAGCAACTTGGCAATCGCAACTTGCACAGAGCGCTTGCGCAGAGCAATTTTCAGCAACACTTCCAAAGCGCAACTTGCGCAAGGCAGCTTGCGCAGCATACTTGTGTGGAACAACTTGCACACTCTCACTTGCATGGAGCGAAAGCAAGTAGCTTAGAGCACTAGGCAACTTGCGCTAGGCGGCTTGCAAGGAGGAACGCATGTGTGTGCTCGCGCGAACTGTGCGCGGGTTTGCGTGCGTACGCGGGCTGTTTGTGCGCGCGCTATGTGCGTCTGCGTGTTTGTGGCTGTGTGTGTGTGTGTGGTTGTGTGTGTGTGGTTGTGTGTGTGTGTGTGGTTGTGTGTGTGCGTGTGCGCGTGTGTGTGTGTGTGTGTCCCGAGCTTTGCTGCCGAGCTTTTCCATCCATCTCCATTAGTATGAATGAGTTTCGCAAGCAGGACCGCGCTCACTCACCCACACCCACACAAGCAAGCACGGACAAACACAGACAGACAGACAGACAGACAGACAGTTAGACAGACAGACAGACAGGCAGGCAGGCAGACAGACACAAGCACGCAGACAGACACACACACACACACACACACGTCCTGGGTAAAGACCTCGTTGACCCGGGAAATGGGGCTTGGCAGGAAAAAGGGAGGCCCCTGCGCAAACTTCACGCAACTGCAAAACGGATTGGCAGGAAAGAGGGGAGAGAGAGGGGCATGTTGTTTGACAAAACAGACGTATTTTTTTCTGGAAAAAAGGAAGACAGTTTCTCCTTAAAAGCTTCATTTACTTGCACAGATGTTTCTGTTGAACAGCCTCATTTGCTTCAAAATGGAAGTCGCAGAGAAAAAACACGTAGTCACGTAGGTCCTCTGCACAAACGTGATTCCCCTGGCTTGACAACTGGGGTCAGCAAAGGCCTTTTACCCTCACGTGCTTTCAAAGAGATTGAGCTCCCCCTGGCGCAACTCGTGCCCCTCTGTGGTTGGGCAATTCACCAACCCACGCAAATCAGCCTTTCGGCTAAGAACCGCCCGTTGTACGCCTTCCGCATCTCGTCCATCGACCATCCACGTCGTCCCCACTCGTCCCACAGCGCTTTCACACCCACCTTCATTCTTCGTCTCACACATCGCCAGCAGCCGCCTCAGCGAATCCTCCCAGCGTCCGCCGTGCTGCCTTCAATCGCTCCGGGATGTTCACCACGAGTTGCAGCCTGGTCGAACCACCTTTGACACTGCCTGCTCTGCGGCGCTCGACCACCACTCCGACGCACCTTGCGGAGGACCCCCCGGGCTCATGTGACTTCCGTTCTCAATCAAAATGATGCTGCTCTTGAAGGGGCCTGGGTTTGAAAGCTTCTACCTAGGAAGAGAGGGGGGTCCTCTTCACAAACTTTGTTTACCTGGAAAAGGACAAAGCAGAAACCTCCTTAGAAACCCAAGGTGAAAGTGAGGTGTTCTTTGTTCAAACCTTGTTTTCCCGGATTGGGGATTGGCTGGAAAGAGGGGGAGGCTTTCTTCAAGAGGGGGAGCCTCAACGCAAAACGACCACTTACCTGACAAAGCGCAGACCACACCTCATTTTCCTTGCATTCGTTATGCAGTTGCCGAACAATTGTGCAAGACCTCAAACTTAAACACACAGTCATGTTATCAGCCGCAAGGCCCGGACGCGTGGCATCACAGCGTGCCTCAATTTAGAGGTGTAGGGAGCCTCAAGCGGCACAGCGTTTGACTTGAGTTCTACATGGAAACCAATGTTGAGGTCTGAAGCACAAGCAAAGTTGCTCATGGAGGAAATGTGCAAGCGCAGTGACCGGGAGTTTCCAGGCATTCAGGTGCCGGGCTTAGAAAATCAACGGCAAGGCTCTTCGGTGCTGACGCGAGATGGCCATTCATGATGTCCGGGGAAGCATTTCAGCCAGCCTGGCTCCCCAACGCGAGGCGCTTGAGCCTGTCGTAGACGCCGCTCTGGAGCACGCGCAAAATGGGAGGTTGCAACCAGCTGCTCTTCCAAGAATCCCTTCATGAAAACCTTTCACAAAAGGTAAACATCTTAAAAACAGCTTCTTCAGCGGGGGGCCTTGCCTCAGGTTTCTTTGGTGGAAGAGGACGCCGACGGCGATGACCGCCTTTTCTATCGTGTGGTCGATCCAGAGGACAGTGTCAGTTCTTGATACTCCAGACATGCATTGCACAGGATTGAATGTAGTTGCAAGCATCAACATTGTCAACTTGATAGGATTGTAAGCTGTACTCCTCAACCACCTTCGGCAGCAAGGCGGTCCCAATGAAACCCGGCTCCAATCACGGCTTGCTATTTTATATTCCCACCCCGTTATTGTTGATCATGCGTTGGCAGGTGATTGGACAGCGAGAGTACGGCGATGTGGTCAGGGGGCAGTTTGCCACTTACTCAAGTTTTTGAGCATCTTGGGATGTCTCGAAAGAGAAGAACAAGTTTGCAAGACTCGACATATTGCCGCCAGCTACGGCCCAGGTCATTACACAAGACAGGTCTTTGGCTCGAGCTCCACGTTTCAGAGGACCAGAAATAGGGCTGGCTTCAATTTCAGAACGTTTCGAGGGCAGAGCTGCCAAGAGGAGTTCGATGCCTCCGGTCACAGAAGGGTTCACTGCCCAGTCACGGGGTTTGTGTTTGCCAATCCACTGAATGATCCATGTCCTTGATTTGACGATGGCAGTCAGCAGAGCTCTTTGGGCTTCAGGCTTACATTCCCCTCTTCACAGATGACGCAGAGGAGAAAGAGGAGGCCCCGAGTTGCTGAGCAGCTTGCGAAGAACTACCTCAACATTATGAGCTGTACTTGAGGTGTTGGAGAAGTTGCCAGCAAGAGAGTCCGAGCCTTTCTGGCAGCTGGATTTGGCACACGTCACACCATTGAATGTTGCCCAATGCATATGGCTCCAGAGATTTGGCTGGCAATTTACCCACACACTTGCCAAACGCGCCAGAGCATGCATGACTGCCCTCGACATGTTCGTCTTTGGTGCGAGAGGTATCCAAGACCTGGTCGGTGGGAGATGCTTGGCTTCAGGCTGAAGCCACCAACTCAGCACGTCCATGGGTGCTCGTAGCACAGAACTTCCGGTTGGTTTAAAGCCAATCGGCGCTATGAGGTGCAGTAGGTGTTCAGGGAAATGTTGAGAGGCTTCCTTTGGACACCCGCTAAATTTAAATGGAATTGGCCTTGCACTAAGGCCAATGGGCTTGAAGCCACCGCGCGATGCTGACGTGCCTCTGGACTACAGCAGGCCTGCTTTTCTGGTGATGCAAGCTGGATAGAGCTCGCCCAATCGAAATTGAGGCATGGAGCTTGAAGCAGAGTTAGAGTCATCGAAGACATTCAGAAGACGCCTACAAGACTTTGTCATCAGAATGATGCCAAATGCTGTTAGACAGGTGGCTGGATGCAGACCCGCCCGAAAACATGAAAGTGTGGCCGCGGGTGCCTCAGTCAGACGAGAACACAGGTTGCTGTCCGAAACATGCGCTTAGGTACATCTACAAGCATGGCCTTGCCGTTGCCTGCATGCTACGGGGTGTCTCAGAGGAAGTGGTGGAAGCTTGGTTGCAAACATTCGTCAGAGTGCTGGCAGAGATTCACGATGTAGTTTGGATTTTGAACAATGACCCAAATCGGAAAGCAGTTGCTGTTGTTGTGACATGACACCAGACGCATGCTGAAGATTTCACATGCACCTGCGAATGGCGGTCACAGTGGACAAAGCACCGTAGGGACCTGGCTGTCGGCCGCCATTTGCATATTGGACAAGTATCTTGCTGCTGTTTATTTGAGGACAGCTTTGTTCGGTATCACTGGGTCACAGGCATGACAGCGTGTGAGTGTGTGCGTGTGTTCGTGTGCGCGTGTGTGTGAGAGAGAGGGAGAGAGGGGAGAGAGACAGAGACAGAGAGGGATGCCTTGACAAGCCTGCCAGGTTGGAATCACGTGTTCCTTTTCTATGACGACCCCAACGACCCAAGCATCCGTCATGCTGGAAGCTGAGCAGAATGAACCCTGAAGACTTGCACGAAGCAATCATCACAGGCAAAGTCGCTGGAAGACTATGCCCGCAGCAAAGGCATGGCTGGCGCAGGCACGTCAGTGTTTCAAGGTCCTGAGCACCGGAAAAATGCAATCATATCGATTGCACGAATTTAGCTTCATGCCGATTCCATGTATTCATCATGTGTTCAAAGACACTATCGAACAGAAGGATCAAGATTGCCTAAAACCTTGAAGCCAGGCCTCACTGTATACAGAATGGATGAGAACTGGTGGGCCTGGTCCTTAGAAAGCGGTCCCAAGTCGCACCATGCCTGTGCAAATTATTTTGACGATTGAGGAAGAAGCAAAACTTAGAAGCCGGTTCTATCTCCGCAGAGAAAAGAACAACTTCTATGCGAGCACGTGGAACAATCAGGATTCCGTGTACTCGTGAAAATTCAAAGCATTGCTTTTGCGAACATAATATGCATGGCGTTTTGTGTTATTCTCATCATGGCACAATGTCAGGAGGCTGATCGCGGAGCTCGAAAACTGATTGCTGCTGATATTGCCATCTTGGAGGCACATGTCTACTGAGTTGGTTGTTGCTATTGTGATCCGTGGCAACTCTACATCCCATTCATTGACGTCCAATACGTTAACATGTGAATGCAACTTGAAGGCACAAAATATGGGAATCGACTGGCTTGGCTCTGAGATGCGCTTATGGGTCGAGCATCTCGCCAAGTGCATTCTATAGCACCCAGGTAAGATTGTCTCATTGAGCAGCTTAGGGAAGGAGGGTGTGGCAGGGATGAGCGAATCTGAATGTAATTCCAGATTTGGGTATGTAATTGTACATAAGAATGTTCAGACGTAGCTACAATCATGATGTTGTGACTTGCCACGATCCCCCCCACCAATTGTTATGTGCAGCTTAAGAGAAGTCTAGCCGACGTGGGGTTTGGATACCAACGATGTTGCAAGAAAGGTAGCTGTTGTTGAAAGGTAGATATTGCGTAGCACGTGGGCCTTCTTAGTTCCTAGTTCTTGCATCCAGCATTCTACAGGCTGTTCACACTCACACAGGACATCCGGTGAGAATCTAGACTCAGGCTTCCACACACTGGAGTAATTGCACCCTGGCCATTTTGTGCTTGCTCAGTAGCTCAGATTCTGTGGCAGGCATAATATGGAACTGGGCGTTGTTTTCCACCATTCAGCTTCAAGCATGTGGGAATGTGTGGTAGACACATCAACCTGACCATGGTGTACCGCTTTGCTAGTCATAGCTTTGTGTTGTGTGTGTGTGTGAGTTATTTTGAACACTGTTTTGCAATGGGCTTGAGATGGCCTGTAAGCATGATTTTTTGCAAACTGCTTGGTGTTTCTATTTAACAACGTGGTTACAACAACCTAGTCGGGATTTGTTTGTCGGCTAGTCATGTCAATAGGAAACCACCACCGAGACATGAATTCCCACCTATATGATGTCCACCAAGACGCCCCCTGTTAAAATTCGTTCCCACATCAACAAAAAGTAAACGCGTCAACGCCCCTGCTCAAACGTGAGCCAGCTTAGCATCACGCTTCACAATCTGTCCTGTCTTCTCTTGTGCACAATGCTGTGTGTAAAGCTGTGCGTGAAGCTGCGCATGATGTTACGCATGATGCCGCGCATGATGCTGCGCAAAATGTTGCGCATGATCTTGCCCACGATGCTGCGCATGATGCTCAAGCTTGCGCGCGATGCTCTGCAGCCTCTCTAAGCCAATCTGTCTCATTCGTTTCTCTTGTCAACCTCGCTTGTCCATATCTGTGCGCAGCCTGGCTGCGCAAGAAGGCTGGCGGTCCCAAACGCGGAAGTGTACCTCGCATGCTGCTTCCGCGCTCACAAGTTGTGATCTTCGAGCCGGAGACGGGAAGTGTATTTTGCGTGCTTCTTACTGATTTGAAATTGGCTGTTCCAGAGCTGGAGATGCGAGAGAACATTACTCTTGTGCTGAAAAAGTTGTGATTTTCGAGCTGGAGCTGCGAGATCGCACTTCGCGCGCTACCTTTGCATGTAGAAACTTGCGATTTTTCAGCCGGAGATGCGGAAGTGCGCTTCGCACACTACTTTTGTACTTTAAAGTTGCAGATTGAGTTGTGTCTCTGCCGTCAATAACGCGATGTCAGGCGCAAGACTTACATGGTGCCACAGCGAAAGCGCAATGAGGCGCGCTTGCGCGCAAGACTGTCGCATCGAAGGAACTTTCTGCCAGCAGTTTGAGCGCGAACCCTCGATCTAACACAGCCTTAACCCTTACCGTCAGAGCCGCTTCGTGTAAACACTATTTGTGGACAAAGCGTGCAAACATGTTTTCTGATTGGGGGATTCCCCGGGCTTAACTCTACCTAGTTGACCAACTCTTTTTCCCCACCTCTCAGGCGAGGGTGCCTAGATCTTATCTCAGCGTCGCCCTCCTCCAACTTCCTTCTCCTCCTCCTCCTACATCGGGGCTGGCTGCGGGGTGTGCTGCGCTGGCCTTTTCGTGTGGCTGGTTGCGGAGTGTGGTGTGCTAAAGTTTTTCGAAAAGCCAGACTTTTCGAAGGACTTATTTTATCTCACTCTATTTATCTATCTGTTCATCTATCTGTCGATCTATCGATCTATCTACCGATCTATTTATCTAATCTATCCATCTCTCTCTCTAACTATCCCCGTCTATCTATCTATTTATCTATCGATCTATCTATGTATCTATCTATCAATCTATTTGTCTAATCGAGAAGCTTGATGTTTGGGAAGCGGGCCCAATGAAGGAAGAGTTTTTGTGCTTAGTAGGGAACAGACGGCTTTCCTGCCTCAACCAGGCAAACGTTCACCCTCGGCAAATCCGTGCGAGAGTGACATCATGTCACTAGACGACATTCGTGCGCGTTTCCTTGGCTGAGCTAGCGCAGAGATGCGTAAACTTCGGCAGGCGCTTCGCGCTTTCTTGTTTTCCCCTGTTGGGTGAGGTAATCACCTACATATCCTCTCTCTCTCTCTCTCTCTCTCTCTCTCTCCATCTTTCTACCGATGTATCCGTCTATCTATATATCTATCTACCTACCTATCTATCTACCTACCTATCTACCATCTATATTTCTATCTCTTTCTGTTTGTCTCTACCTTTTCTCCATTTGGCTCTCTGACAACCTATTATCATCTATCTACTTGTCTATTTATCTGTTTATCTATCTATCTAGGTATCTATCTATCTACATCTATCTTTCTCTCTATTTGTACCTAGCCTTGCGAAAGTGCTGCACCTGCCACGAAATCTGTACTGGACCATGTGAAAGTACTGCGCCGGCCACGAAACCTATACCTGACCTTGCAAGAGTGCCGCGCCTGCCAAAGAATCTGTGCCTGACCTGCCACGAAATCTGTACCTGACCTTGCGAAAGTGCTACGAAATCTGCACCTGACCTTGAGAAAAGAGCTTGCGTGCTAGTGATCTGCATAAATGCAAAGGCGCGGGCCACTCGAAGTAAAGTAACTGAAGGTGTGGGGTCTCAGCCCAGACAACCGCCAGGGTGGTGCGGGGCGGCCCTAAAATAAGGTTTCCGCAAAAGTTTTACCAGGTTCCATGAAGGTTCCACGAGGATTCCACAAGGTTCTGCAAGCACCGCACGCTGTTGGGGATTTCACCTGAGCTTATTTGCTTCAAGGAGGGTTCAACATGAAGAGATGTCAGTAGCGAGCCCAATGTTGCGAGCCTGGCTCGGGGATCCTCAGTTGTAAGAATGGGGCATTCGAGAGGCTGTGCTGTTCGCTGAGCACGTGGGTCTGCTTGTGGATTGGTGCCGGTGGTGCCCGTGATGCCCATGGTCCTATTATGGGAAATGGCCTGAGACTGTGGTACCGCCAGTGCCCCGCCAGTGACTGTGGTGCTCATGATGGTCATGCTGTTCGCAACGGGACTGCTCGTGATCCTTTGCACAGTGCGCAATGAGACTTGCAGGGCCCGTGAGCCAGTGGTGCCCGTGATGCCCGTGATGCCCGTGCTCGTGAGCCCATGCCTGCGTTGTGCGTGGTGCCCCTGCCCGTGCTGCCCCTGGTGCCTGTGGCGCCCGTGAGCTCGTGCCGGTGCTGCCGTGGCCGTGCTGCCCGTGGCGCGTGGTGCCCGTGAGCCCGGCCCGTGATGCCCGTGGTGCCCGTGAGCTGCGCCCGTGGTGCCCGTGAAGCGCGTGGTCCTTGAGCGTACCGATCTCGGTGTTCCACCTCTTGATCTTTATCTTAATCATTTCATTCATGTCATTGTCATATACTCAATCTATTTCAGCACAGGTTGATTGCGCAACTAGCATCATAAGCAAAGTTTGGGGGAGTAGAAAAGCGACGTTAGGTAACGTGTCACAAGGCACAAGGTTGAGACCACAATATGTCATACATACATCTCTGCGGTTTTCAAAACATGTCGGCCAAGAAAAACACATCTGCTGTCAAATAGAAATCGTGATGTTCTCGCAATGTGTTTAGATAAACTGTGTTTTGGCATAGTCTTCATCGCTAAATTTGCTGTAAAGCACCTCTCTGAGGCCCAACACTATTGCAAATACCGTCAAATTCTGTGTGTTTGGGCAGCAAGATAATCCTGATGATGCCGGGGATGCCGATCCTGCGCGTTCGAGGGAACCCCCCCCCCCCTCCCTAGAGACGCAGATTTTGAGCACGCAAGCCCCAAAACCACTGGAAAATATAGGGTTTTGGACACCCAGCATACCATGCCCAAAAAATGGCAGCCCCAAAAGCCTTCGGCTTTGATAAGAGATTCCGAAGGAAGACCAAGTTGCGGACTGCCATCTACACGCTCGACTGGCGTCGGCGGATTTCTGGTAAATCATGGCGAAACCAGCAGACGTGTGTGCTTGTTCCGAATGAAAACTTCTTAAAGCTTGTTGTAGAGAGGTGTCCAGTTTCGCATATCGCCACTCACTTACTCACTCACTCGCTCGCTGACACGCTTACGGGCGTAGTGCTTTAGACTGGTTGGCGCGGAGCGGTTGGCTTCGGCGCTCGGGCTGCTTGGTGGCAGGCTTCGTGCTTTGAGCTTGGTGATGTTGGATTTCGTGGCAGACGCAGTACTTTGACTTTGCTGACGTTGGATAGCGGTCGGCTTCGGCGCGCGGGCTGCTTGAGCGGCAGGCACGGTTGCGCTGAATCTCCGCCCATCACTCGCCAGGTGAGTTTGCATTGACTCAAAGACCAACTGACATCAAACGCCTATCAAACAACACGATTGGTAGCTCAGAGCACCAGCAAGCAACAAGGGCGCAGCAGCGGCTGTCGTGCGAAGCGGCCCAACGGAGTCGCTGGGGCCAGGGTCATTTGAGGGGCATTTGGCTGACTTGTGTCACTCACTTGGGGGTCACTCGCTTGGGGTCACTTGGATCACGCTGTCTCGCGTTCACTTGGGTCACCTGGGTCACTTGAGTCACTCGGGTCACTTGGGCCACTTGCATCATTTGGGTCCAGGTTTCTTGTAGTCTTCCGCCGAGAAGCCTAGGTTCGAGGTGTTGCAAGGTCCGCGAAATGCATTGTGCGCCTGTCGGCCTGCAAGGGGTCCAAGTGGTCCAAGTGATCCAAGTGGCAGACATCCAGCTAGCGTGCCCGAAATCTTCGCCCGCTGCGTACCACCACTAAAGCTTGGCATGAGGGGGTCATCCGGTCGTCTAATTGCATAGGTCCAGATAGATGCGTGAATGTCCATATGTACGTGTGGCCACATCCTACACTTCGTGATTCGCAGTGTGCCTAGATATGCATCTTGCGATTCCAAGGTTTGGATTTTTGGACATTGACGAGTGCATCTATGTGTGTGCACCTTTGGGTTGCTAAGCGGGATCTCAGAGCGCACGACCTCAGGCCTCGGATGCAGGAGTGCAGCTCCAGAAGGTTTTTTGGCTCTAAGGACAGTGTGTTTCCTAGGGGATCCAACGTACGGTGTGTGTGTGTGTGTATGTACGTATGTATGTACGTATGTATGTATGTATGTATGTATGTATGTATGTATGTATGTATGTATGTATGTATGTATGTATGTATGTATGTGTGTTTTGCCCAATCAGACCTTGTGCGCCATTGTGGGCCGCTCAATGCCTGCCACAGTGCTCAAATCCATAAGAAGCACGTGGGATGAAATTCATAGTGCATTTCCTGTGAGTTCGAAGCCTCCATTGCGCCTTGACTGCTCCTTTCAAGCATACAACCCATCTAGAACGAGAAGCCTCAGTTTCAACATTCTGGGTAGTTTGATCTTGCGCCCAAGGTACAGTGGCTTTTGTCTTGCACGTTTGCAAGATGACTCGCTGCAAAGGAAAGCCTCAGATGCTTAGATGGTTGATAACGGTTGCTACGAATCCCACTGGGCTCAGTGAGCTCAGGAAATCAAGTCTGAAGCTGGGCGCTGGCATTGGCAAGGACGGGTTGCTGCGGATGTGCAGACTTCATGGTTGAATTGACAGGATGTGAAGGGTGCAACAGAGCGAGCGCCAGCAGTAACAATAGATGTCAAATCAGCAGCAGCCATGCCTGAGTTCAATGCGGCAGCAGCTCAGCTTCAGAATGTTGTGTATGGTGCATATGCTATTGGAAGGACGTGGGAGGGTGCTCATGCTTGGTTAGTGGGCCAGTCCAGATCAAACAGTATTGGAAGGTCCCACTTGTGGCTGCGAGATGAGCGCTTCCCAGATAGTGCTTTCTCCAAGGACCCTTTGGCACATGTTGCCGGCAAGAGGGTCCGAGTTTAAAAGCTGCTGCCGTGTTTGTGCGCTCAAGGAGTGGCAGCATGCACCAATCTTCCCTGACAGGTGGCGACAACTACTGGCATGAAAACAGCTTTTGCAGCAGAGTCCGGAACCTGAGTCAAGAGATGTTAGATAGGCTTGCCTGAAGTCCCAACACGACAGACGTTAAACTGTGCAGCATCTCCGCTAGGTCGTCTTTGAACATTGCCCGGCGAATACGGAATGCGTCTGTTCCTTGTGGATGTGCTTGCAGCCTAGTCAAACTTTCACAATGTGGCAGCAAAGTTGCCATTCAAACGCCACCTGGACTGACAAGCTACAAACTGAGAGCGTATGAGTCTGGTTGGTTGGGGTTGAGGTCATAGAAGATGATGCTGCTGTGGCTGAAGACCTGTCAACAGCCGCCATGGATTTGTCGTCCAGCAGCAGGCAAGCTGCATCACTATTCGTAGCAAGGCATGGCCGCATAGCCTCGGTAAATCAAGATTTCGGGGGTGGTTGGCAGATTGTCATGATTCCTGCAGGCGACTGATGCCTCGCCGGCCAGCATGGTCGTATGAGATCAGCAGTGGTCGATTACACCATCGCGAGGCAAGAACCTGACCAGGCAGAAGGTGTTCCCTCCATGCCGGCGTGTTGAAGCGGCATAAATATAGTTAAATATATTTATTATATATGTATATATATATATATATTTACCTATCATATGTTGATCAGGATTTGCCAGTTGCCTGCTTATCATTTGCATGAGGCACAAAGCTTCAAGAAATGGCTGGACGAGGTACAGGACGGGCTGAAGGCAGTCCATAGATCAACTGGCCATGCCGAAGACTCAGACCTTGTTGGTCCGGCAGTTTGTACCTGGGCACTTCCACTGTTGTGAGAGAGTGCATTGGCTGCATTGGCTCCAGGAGCTCATCCAGCAAAGAGGTGGTTACCCGCCCGCCTTTGACTCTTGAATCAAATTGGATGGCAACGAACGTATGATAGGGTCGGCGAACTCAGATGAGAGCTGGCCACAGCTGGGCAAGTTGCTGAGTTTGCTTTCGCATTGGCACAGCGGCTGGCTATTGTTTTTTTTCCCCTGCCAGACCTTGAACAAAAGCAAGCTGTGCATCTCGAACTACAGAGGGTATCACTGAATACATGTTCTGCTTATACAAAAGCATCAATGTCAAGCACATGAACTATTAAGGAGACAAATTTGCAAGTGTGGCGGCAGCTTTGGCGAGTTCTAGAAAGATGTCACGTTGCAGTGGTGGTTTTAGATGCGCCGGCAGCTGAGAAGTGGGGGGGTGCAACTGCCAGTGAACCAGAGAAGCCGAGTTTTGTTGACAGGCGACATCCTTTGCTTCATCTTCCACCTGCGTTTCCGAGATGCAAGGTTTGAACTTGATGAGAACGACTGAAAATTGAACTTAAGGCTCATCTATCATGTTAGACGAACTCTTCAGAAGCCTCTTGTTGTGGTCCCAGCCTTGGCGCATACTGCCAAACAGCAGACCTGAGAATCACGAGCGTCGGGAGCGATTAAGGTGCTGAACAAGCTGGATGCAGTAGATCCTATGAATGCTGAACGATGGGCTGAGGTCACTCAAAGCGAACATGATTTGTTTGGCCTTGCTTGGGCCAATGTGAGTGCGCGGCTGCGCAGGCACTTTCCTTGGTTCCTGGGATTTCTGCGATCATTGGCTATTCGACGCTGGTCTGATATTTGCATGAATTGCACAAATGTGCTGTCACTGCAACCAGCGGTTGAGGATTTTGCAGAGCTGCATGCAGAAAAAAGTCACGGGCACATGTGTGAAGACACACACAAAGGAAGGAAGAATTGACAGCTGAATTTCGATCACTCAGAATAGGCTCCATCATGTCATTGACAATTGAAATGTTTTTCCTGTGTAAGACTGCCAGGGAAAAAGGCGCTGATCCACATTTGCCACAAGGCTGCCAAGTCGAACACAATCGGCCTGTTTGCCAAGCTGCATGCATGTCCATGCTTGGCTCCTCCTTGATCCACGTACTTGTGCCTGAGACAGGTTCATTCCGAATCTATGGCAGCATCAAAGGCTGCAGAATCTTCAAATTCAAAAGTAGAAGGGTCTGACAGGGCAGAGACTGTTGAGGACTCCTCGGATTGCTGAAGCAATGCTAACAAATGGCATGATCAATTGTGTGGGTTTTGCAAGGATAAGCCGGTGGCATTTGACTTCGTGGAATCTCCAGAATTCGTTGGATCAAAGTCCGGCTACTACTTTGGCACTGGCAACAAAGGCACGGGATACTATTCCGATGCGCAGGCCAGGAGCCTACGGGCCTACAAGCAAGACATTCCAGAATATTCCCTCTCCAAAGAGTTGATGCCTGACAAGCGCTGAAATGTTCAGGCTCCAAAGAAGTGCGCCAAAGCTGCCACAAGAGACCTTCGAGACGCAGCTCCGAGGCTTTAACTTTACTTTGCTCGCACCATGAGCTTGCAGTTTCGGGGTTTGGCCACGATGGATGCAGCTTGACAAAAGTCTCACGTGTCGCTGGCAAACAAGTGTAAATGTTGGCATAAGGTCGCACAGAGCACTGGAGAAGAGCTTTCCGTTCCAGCCGGATGTGTTTGTGGCCGCACAGGATGTGTCACTGTGTCTGTGTGAATATGAGTGATGGCTGTGCCCTTCCAAGGCATCATGCTTGGCTTAGTGGGCCATCCAAATGTCGGCAAGTCATCGATGGTCAACCACTTGATGGGTGGAAAGGCAGCTTGAAGGTTCAGCCATACATTGCCACGCATATGACTTCTCATATGCACAATTGGCCATCAGATTGCCGAGAGGTCGTGAGTGTCAAAGCCACACCTGGCCACACCAAAATCTTGCAGACCATCAAGCTGGATGACAAAACATGCCTGTGCGGCTCACTTGCATCAGAGGGCTGAGCAATGTGCTCCTCCAAGG